AGTAGTCGTTTACGAATCATAAAAGTAAAACCTTTACAACTTGTTGGTGAAGTTTTATACTTTTCACGATTCATCATTGTTCTTTTTTTTAATCATCGAAAAAATGTCATTGTATACATATTATTTCTTTGATACGATACACTCAATGTTAAAAACTCCATAAGTTTAATTGGTCAACTAAATATGTTACATAGTTCATACAAAGTTAGGCCTGACATTCTCTGGCATTTGAGGGTCTCGGACTGTGTTAATGTAAGCTTTTTGTCCGACGGTAAAAATGTTTCCGATTTCTAGGAAATTTCATCATTGATGTATGACATTTATTGATATTAATTAACAGTTAGGATTTGGTTGTTCCCGAGTTTAATATTTTATCTTTATTTGATGCTTCAGACACAAAAACAATAACCAAGTAGAAATATTCTCAGGAAATTCACATTCAGCAGCAAACTTATATCTATTCAAGTCGCACATTTGACCTCATCAATATAACATTATTGACTCCAGTTTGTTATAAGTTTATAATTTAGATACTACAGTGTTGTATCGAATGTGCAAGTTGGCTATTTGTGGGGGTGACACATGTCCCGCTATCAGTGACATTAGCGTTATCAGGCAGTGTCAACATATCGATCCCCCCTCAACCCCCGCCGCAATGGCTTACAGACTAGGAGCCCATTCATTAGCACTAATTAACAAAGAGATAATTAGGAAATGCATAATTAATACATTAGCAAATAACCAATGGAAATTAATAAACTGTAATTACGCACGCTGGTGGATATATCGAGGGCTTTTAATATGTTTGCCATTTCATTATCTGTGCACTGGCATTAATTATTACAACTCAATTAGTAGGTTTTCTGCGTCGGATTGGACCGCACTGATTTGCTGTTTACCGACCTTTTGTGGTTCTTGTAATCAGCCGGACCGATTTTCCGGGATTTCTGCATTTGTTGTGATTAATCTAATTTCGGGTTCGACCGAGTCATAAAATATTACTTCTTCTTTAATCAAACCGAACTCGTGATTGTTTCGGACTCTCGTTTGTTAACTTCAGTTTTAAGAATAAGCGTGAAATTGATTGCATTTAGTGTTCAGTTTGATTTTCATTATGAAATCTTCAATATTGTGTGCTGGATTTAGATTATTATTTAATTAAGTTTTCATGTGATTTCGGTGATTATGTTTGTTTTGCTCACAATACTCATCCAGCTATTCTAATCTAAGATTAAATTAATTTGGCAAATACAGAGTGTTATGTATTTATAAATTAAGTTATTAATACATTGAGTTTTTTTATATCTTGGAAAATCTTATTATAAGTAAAATTCCTTAGTACCGTAGCATTTTAAAAATATGTTTCAGGACCGAAATTAAACTTTAAAGAAAATTGTTTGGACAGTCTTGGTAAATTGTAAACAGTAGTAACTATTGTTTACAATTTGCCAAGACTGTCCATAAATAAACTAACAAATAAACAATAAACTGTTTATTGAAATTGTTCTTTCATGAACAAAAACTGGAGTTAGTCACTGAACTTATTTGAAGACCTTATATTTAACTTTGTACTAACATTTAATTTTACGAAATAAATTCATTCCAATGTGCAATTAATTGTGCTCAATGTACTAGTTGAAAACTAGAATTACACATTCAAATGAGGGTTGTATATATGAGCAGGATTTTGTGTTCAAAGTACCGTAACTTACACAACATAAATTCATACATTTCTCAAAAAATATGACTGTAGCTTCGTATCACGGACATTGTACCTGTTTTGCTTGAATTTGTTTGATAATAATATATTTCGTATGGTTGACAATGATAAAACGTACTCTTGTGGGACGGAAAATGATGGTACCTGTGCTTTTACCGACAGCAAAAATACTTGATTATTATATAATTGGATAAAAGACGAATGACTAGCGACAAACAGATGGATCTAATTTCAAACCTAAACAATTCAATAATCCTTTGCTAATTTCCCTGTAGAGAAGATCTAGACCCGGGGACGGTTAACTTTATCATTTTAATGTCCCCAGAGGCCAAACACACTATTCGTTCAAATTTGAGTGTAGGCCTATGTATAAATAAGTAGGCCTATGTGTCCATGAACACGATAACACGAGCAATGTCCGTCCGATTTTAGTGTCATTTTGGCATGCACGTGTAGAGCTCAATTAACTTAAACGAGTTCGCGATCCAGCAAGATCTAGTAGTGGAGTGTTAGGCCTAAGAGTTTTGAAACATTCTAAAGTATCTTTTTATAATTGTTACCCTTTAAACCATGGAAATGCCCAATGTTTATTGCATCCATCTTAAGAGTTTAAAAGAACAAACAAATTATTATTAGTATGTTATTGTTGTACGACTAAAGGTTACGGATAAAATAAAAAAATAAAAATAAAAACTGTACTTAAAACCCCCTATGTTATTCTTATGGAGAAATATAAAACTGTTTTAATCGTATTATTTATGGATAAATTTTTAGAAAATTTGGCAAATTTATTTATTTAATACTATACTTCTGACATTTGATCAAAACCACTTTTACCTTCGTCATAGTAGCAAACTTAAGAACTAAATAAATCAAATATTATTTAAATAAGGAAGAGATATAACTTGTTTATGTAACGATTTTAGTAAATAACCTATCAGACAAATTGAAGTTTGCTTAGTCTCTACAGGCTTGCTGCGGCGAGGGGTAAGTGTCAAATCGTCAAACTTTGCTGGAGAGCACATACATCATTGGGGAATACTTACACCAGAACTAGTTAAAACTGTCCCTTTTTACAACAAATACAAACAAGATAGTATGAAAATACGAAACTGTAATAACTATCAGTGCAATATTCCTCTAATCTAATAAGATAGTTATTTTAATCATAATCAAATTTATATGACGCTTCGTTATGTTACACAATAGGGAAAAAGAATATTTCAAATGGATTTACAACAAAATATAAACACACCATGAAACTATTTAAACAATATTTTTTTGATTTCAATGGACATAAAAGTAATGCATGTTTGAGTTTGGTGTTCTGTTTGTGCTTCAATCTCATCGTGCAGTTATACTTAAACGTATCACAGGTTTAGATTAATGCATTGGTCCATAGCGCGAGTCAACGTTTAGACAGCTATTTAAAAGCTATCAAACATTTGGACTATCCAGGTTTAGATTAATGCATTGGTCCATAGCGCGAGTCAACGTTTAGACAGCTATTTAAAAGCTATCAAACATTTGGACTATCCAGGTTTAGATTAATGCATTGGTCCATAGCGCGAGTCAACGTTTAGACAGCTATTTAAAAGCTATCAAACATTTGGACTATCCAGGTTTAGATTAATGCATTGGTCCATAGCGCGAGTCAACGTTTAGACAGCTATTTAAAAGCTATCAAACATTTGGACTATCCAGGTTAATCTGAAAACATAATTTATATCTCATAATTTGTCCATTACGATGCACGATGAAGACTACAATTACTAAAATCGGGTTATTGGTCTCAGACATCCTAGGTTCTATTGCAGATATAGCTCATCTATGATCGCAATTCGAAGCGTACTTTTTGATAACTTAATACGTGTGTTCATTTGGTCGAGTGAGAAGACCATGGGTCTTAAACAGTTGTTAAAATTAACTAGTTCAAGGCATAGGCCTACTTAAAATATGTATAACACTAATATTATAGTAGACAGACACTTATAATTAAATGCTTAATTTAAAAGCTGGTTATAGAGTGTAGCTTAAATTTCTTTTTAATTATTGTAATTTAATAAGTTTGTGTCCTTTTGTGAAATTTCTGGTTAAAACCAGACAGAAAGTCCGTGCCTTATTATTTTGTCTCATTATGAAAAGACCTAGGCTACGACAAAATGTCTACACTTACTGTTTAAGATTTTAGCAAAAATCATGGGTTAAATAACGTTACAACTGAAGCTTACACATTTCACTGAAATTATCAGTAGGATTTAAACTGCAGCACTCATAAAATTTACTAAGGATTTTTTTTAGGAATAAAAACATTTCTTATGGCTTCTTATGACCCAACGCAATTTAAAAAAGACAAATGTAAAAAAACTGTTATTTTCATACTCAGTTGATATCCTCATTGGTTCAAGTAAAATCCACCTTTTTAATGAAATCCCGGTATTTTGCAGAAACCGTTTTCATTAGGTGTTTGTGTGAGTTTAACCAGAGTAAAACTGAGTTTCGACCGGCAAGCACCGGTTCACTTGCTCTTATAATTTATGCAGCGACTTAAAGCGAGAAACTTGGCTTATAATATCAGTAACTCGGGGGTAAACAAATTAGTATAAACAGGGTTAATGTCGGGAAGGATTTAATTATTGTTAAGAATTCGGTTGTAACGGAGTTCGCTCGCGGCCAAATATTGTGATTAATTTATCCGCTAATATTCTGTAATTAAGAGGTGGGTGGGTAGGGAGAGAGAAGGGGTAATGTGTCTTAGTTTACATTGGGTCGGCAAATTAGAGAAGAGAGCGCTCTTGAAACCGCGGTTCTTCATACACTAATAGAGCCCCTCTCAGGGTGGGTTAAATAAACAATGCGGGATCCGCCCACCGGCCAATCAGAGCACGTGACGGCCCGCTCTCAGCCAATCGGATTAGTCGCTCATTCCCTCCTCTAGCAGAGCCATCATTCTGTCACATGTGTCGGTTCGGGTTCAGTTTATTCCCAGCTTTAACCCGCGAACATCTTTTAGTCAGTCGATGATTTGGCTGAGACTTAACACAGAGTGGGGGTGACAGCGTGTTTACAGTGATGCCGCAAGTTATGATATGACGTTGCCGAGAGTGTCGTGTAGTAAGTGTAAAAAATGCAGTTAATATTATATATTAAATGTTGAACAGGCTAAATCTTTTAAAAATTTCAAGTATGTAAAATAGTATAAAATGCAATGAGAACTCTGTGATGTTTACTGTTTCGAGTGGCGATAGTTAAAAGTGAGTCAGGACTAAAGCTACCGATGATGACTATGATGATGATGCAGCGGCTGTTGCAAGACAACGCGAGCGAAGCGGCGACGACATCCACGTCGAGTCAACCGGTACCTGTGACGTCACCGCGGCCCTTCAACGTGCTGCACCATCATCCTGCGTCAGCGTTCCTGCGGCCACCGTCCTCAAGGTCCGAGGACACCAAGGACGACTCTGAGGTGCAGGACGATGCGAGTGAGACCAGCAAGAAGGACACTGAGGAGCGCGTGTGTAGGAGCCCGGAGGACTCCAAGAGTAGGGTGTCCGAGGAGTCGATGGACGTGGAGGATCGCCACGACAGGCTGAGCTCCGACGAGGACTTTCTGACGGTAGACGACGAGTTGGGCTCTCCTGTGGACCTTACCTCCAGGCACCATTTCCTGAACCGCATCCATCACCGTAGCACGACCACCGCCTCTAGTCCCGAGGCACAGGACGAGCCGCCGCGCCGCCTGGCCTTCTCCGTCGAGAACATCCTGGACCCCAACAAGTTCACTGGCAAGGAGAAGGAGATAGCTCTAGTCAGACCGAGGTTCCAGAGTCAATGGAGGCCGCTTGACATGCTTGCTACATCGCCCGACCTGCTCGCCCATCCAGGTATAGGAGCTTCCGTTGTAAATAGTTGGTTAGTTGGTTTAAACTTAGTTACAATGTGCTATATGTCAGCACATGATATTATAGCCTGGCAAAATGCCTCGTATCAGACATTCAAAAAGTTTTAAATCAATGGCTATAAAGATAAACAGTTATAAAAAGCTTATTTTAGTGAATTATTCAATTCTGTATAATGTAGCTTGTATGCATATCATCCGATAAAGTTAAAACTTAAAATAGTTGTTTATCTTTTACAACATGACGGTAATGAAAAACTAACTAAAAGTCAATCTGTCAAAGCCCTCCAAAAATCTGTAGATTTTCACTGAAAATGCGCTCACCCATAAAATGCATTAAGACTGTCAAATTACGTAAAATCCGTTTCATCTGAGACGTTCACTCAGTATCACAATGTAGTAGGCCAAGTCCAAGTTGAGCGTAAAGGCTATTTAAAACCTCGTCAACAAATTATTATATAGGCCTACCCTCCTATTGTTTGCATTTTTGATACTGTAACGGTAGTGCCGGTAATCTGGAACCAGGTAAATACATATGTGAATATCTGTATTTTCCTAACTGCAAAGTTCTTAAAAAGATTAGTCTAGATATATGTCTAATATTATGCAACTAACATATCATTATTTAGTTAATGATCAGTGTTGTATTCTTTTTAACTGGCTGCTAGTCCAAAAAAGTAGGCCCGTGAACAGAGAGCCCATTTATTAATTTAAAATGTGAAGTGATTAAAAACTAAAAGATATAATTGCTTACTTGAATAATTAATTGTATGGCGAATCTCAGCCTTTAATGGTAAACCGCATTGTTTTAACTTACTTTGTTATATTTATAACATATTGTTAAATTAAAACAAGTCTTGTGGAGATGAAAACAAAGATTTCATTTTATAGTTGACTTTGGAAACGGGCCAAAAACTATCCAAACAAATTTGACGGTCCATGGGAAAATTAAAATAATAGGACGATAACTTAAAACACATATTCAAACATTCACGAGGCATTCCTCGATGTATCCTTGTAACATTATCATGGTAAAGGAGTGCCATTTCGGAAAGTTACCTGAAATAGTTGAGTAGTATTCCTCATTTATTAAGAGTGTAAATTAAATATAGGAAAATATTGAGTTTTATCATTGGTAGGAACAAGGTTAGATAAGCCTACAGACTGTGGATTTTTCCATTGATTTTTAAGACATTCAATGAAAAAATAACTTTGAAATGAACCAAAGTCTATCAAACATCTTTGGTAGTCCAAGGATAATAAACATGAAACGTTAAACAATGAGACATATTGAAAAACACTTTGGAAAAGTAGGAGTGAAACTTATATTTTGTCAATGAACAAAAAAAGTTGCTCTTGAAGTACACAATGTTTATGTATTGTTGCCAATTTTTTCAGAATATTGGCTTAAGTTATTAGCCGGAAGAGTGATCATAAAATAAAAACAAACTTTAAAAACTTAGTTACCTTTAGGTTTTAAAAGTATAAACCACTACATATTCAAATATTTATTTTGAATAGAGTTTACGTGTTAAGGTATTTTCACCTTTGTTTTGCTATCTAAAGTAGACCTTTTGTTAAAATCATGGTTGACAGCCCAATGATCAACATCTGTGTCCGAAATCAATCTCCTCGCTTGCCATCGAACCAGTGACGACGAACACACATGAATCAGCCGAGCAAATCTACTCGACGGTGGTGTAACAAGTAAACACATGTTACTCTGCTAGGAAAATTATTACAACCATTTAATCGTATACGGCTTGGGCTGGGCGGTGTGGGCACGGTGCCGACGCTGGATGTAGGCCTAACTGCCGCACCAGTTAATACTCAATTCCTGCTTCTCTCTTAACAATTGAACGAATTAAGGTAATTTACCGATGTTTAAAGTAGTTCCAGGTTATTGGCTTGGCATTTAATTCTATTACTTTGCCGTAATAGTTAGCAGGTAATACAGCTTAGTCTACAACTTGGACCACTCACTGATCGTGCTAGCATTTAGATTTCAGGATTTACGATTTAATCATTACGGAGTTTTAATCCTCAAGACATATGAATCCAATACACGTCACAATGAACCACTCTATCAATGGACTTCAAACAAGCACGTTTATACTACAGTATGGTACTTCTAAAACTTGATTACATATTTTATACCTACTTTGATTCAGATCATGAGCCCAAACTAATAAATCACAATATTAATTATTATTACGATTTGATGGTTCAAGTTTTGTTTTTTTAAACTTGCTCAAAGTAGGGTTGCAGTCGAGAAAAAGGGTTAAAATATACCTAAACTATTATAATCGTTCTTTAAAAAGTAATAATTATTCAAAAGTTAATTATTAGCGAATTTCCCTATAGGGAAGTAGCTATTACCGTAGGTCTCATGGTAAGACTTAGGCCCGGGACCGATTTACTTTTTCATTTTGATGTCCCCAGAGGCCAAAAACACCATTCGTTCAAATTTTTATATATGTATATATATATATATATCTATATATATATATATATATATATATATGTGTGTGTCCGTGAACACGATAACTTGAGTAATTTTTATCCGATTTTGATGAAATTTGGTTTGAAGGTGTAAGGCGGGATAAACTTGAATGAGTTCGCGATCCAGCATGATCGGACCATGGGAACAGGGTTTTATGGGGTAAAAATTGGTTTTTCTCACTTTTGACCCTCTAAACACAAAAATTCCCAATTTTTCTCTAAACCTTCTTAAAGAGCTTAAAAAAACAAACAATTCAGTATATCAAAGTGTTTTTGTACGGTTATTGGTTACGGAGAAAACTAATAAAATGGCAAATTTAAAATTCCCATGCTATTCTTATGGAGAATATTGTAAAATGTTGTAGTTTGCTTGTTTATGGATATATTTTGATCAAACTTGGCAAATATATTCATTTTATACTAAGCAATAATTATTTTACTTAAAACACACACTTTTTTAGTTTCCTTGTAGCAGCAAACCTAGGTACTCGTTAAACCTAATGTTATTTAAAAATTAATTGAAAATCAATTCAGCCAAATGGAAATTCGCTTAGACGGCAGGTTTGCTGCGGCGGGGGTATATTTTATATGTGATCGTGTTGGTTATTACAATTGATTAAATTTAATCTAAATATATATAGATACATCTCAAACATTGAAATTTTTTGTTTGAAACAGAAAATAAATCGTTTGTTAAACTATACCTCTGCCTTAAATGTTTAATTTGTTACGAATGGATTTTCGAGCGGGGATTGTCCGAATTGATTTAAAATTAGTCTCGCGGGAAATTATGTTCGGTCGAATCACGGCAGTAGCCTCGGACCGTCACGCGGATTTGTTATCAACGTAGACAACATAACATAGTCTCCTTGTACTTGATGATTACGGTAACGTCTTTATTAAACGCAACACAGAATGCGTATTTGATGGTACATAATATACATATTATGTCAAATTATTGACTATTGGGTACTGAAGTAGACGTCCCATCTGTATGGACCAGCTGTAACAATTTTTTTTTTTTAAGAAACAAAGTAGTTGTGTGAGCCAGTCACAGAATGCGCTAGTGACTAAAACTGTATTTTCTACGTTATATTTTGTTGCTGGTCAAGTTGATGGGTCATAACAGTTGCTATAGTTCACAATAAGTGATTCCATTAGTTTTAATTGGTAAAACAGATTGTGTATACATCAGAAATAATTAATTAAGATCAGCACAATCTGTCTGTGGTTCACATAAACTACGACAATTTTGGTTAAAATGCTGGCTACAAATTTAACATGGGGCTGGAATGAATGCAACGTAGACTATTGAGATGCAACAATGAACATAGCCTACATAATAAAATACAACAATGAACTAACGAAACTGCAATTTACTGAACATAATCGATACAACCGTTACTTTTGATTCAACCTATTGCTTATAATCAAAGTTAACAAGAGATTAAAAAGTACCTTACTTCTAAAGTCATCGACTCCAACTTATTGTTATTCCCCGGGGGAAAAATACCCACAACTAATGTTTTACAAACACCTTCTTTTGCCATAATAAGACGAAACATGTGAATGAATTGTTATAAATCAATTCTTCAGCCAGGTTAACCTACAAAAATTATTCATTTAGGTAAGTTTCAGTTCAAAAATATTACAAATTTCCATTAACACCGTTCTCTTAAAACTAATACTTATGTACAGTATCTAGAAGTAAGTTAGAATTGTAGACATGAGTAGAAGTTGTTATGAAAGACTTTCTTTATGTAAAACAACCTGTATAATCACGAATGGCGTGTGCTGTAGCTCAAATTTTTTTAGAATTACTTTAGAATTAAGTCTATGAAAAACTTGAGGTCCTGGTTGGCTGTTATTGAACTATTCTACGACATTTAAATATGAGGCATCTTTATGTAGTTAACATGATCATTGCTGCTAGGACTTAATGGCTTGTTTGAAGCAGTTATGAACAAGAGTTTACAATATTCTACAGTAAATGATGCCATAATTTGGCATTGAATGATTTTATTATGCTGGAAATCAATTATGGAGCATGTTTTAAATGTCAGTTTAATCGATATAACGTTTTGCCATAAAACATGGATCATCAGTCAGAGCTTTATAAGTATTTCTTTGGGGCCACAGTGGAATTGTGGTGTTATAAACAACAATTACTAGTTATTTCCTAGTAAGGAAATACTATTATAACACGCTTGTCCATAATACAATGCAATTCAGTTCAATCATATAATATAATATAACACAATTTACACGTTAAAAATCCACGCTACATCATACTAGGCTTAAGTAATGTCACCAAACGGTACAATACTAGCTCTCCTAACAACCACCACCTATGATGGTAAAATAATATGAGTAATATAATCAAGCTTACCCAATAGCATTGGCCATGGTCGATTTACACACTAAGCCAATATATTTCAATTTGCCTATTTATAACGACTTTACGACTTTTCGTACATTATCTAG